AGGATTTGTTCATTTAGCTTCCAGGAAGTTCATAAAAATCTTGAGTTCCCTTTCGAGAGCGGTAACTTCAACATTGCGTCAGATATGACGTTGCGGGAACTCCTCCCTTCTCCACTTTTGTTGAAATCGTATAGGCTTACGCCAGCTTGGAACAGCTGGCCAATTGTTGCAAAGTATGCAAATACTGACAGGCTCGCGGGCAGTATAAAATGCATGGGCGCGACAATTGCGTCAGAATCTCTTTCTTCACGCTGTCTTCGTTGAAGGTGCACCTGAGGACTAGTTACCTTTTCTTCCTCACATCCGATGGCTACCCTTTGCAGGATTAGTGCGAGCCCCATCGACCTGCCCGACACCTGTGAGTACTGAGTGAGCCTGCCTGGGCCTGGCCCTCGCCGAGGCGGCCTTCTTGGACTCCACGTGCATGCACTGCGCCGACCTGCCGGTGCGCACTTGAGAACCAGGAGGGTTATTCGCAGCAAGACGCAAAACATCCTCTGCTTTTGAAACACATGTAGCTCTGCTGTGAGCAGAGCGTACAAAATACCAGAAACTCACAAATGTTCCCTCCATGGAAATCTTAAGTAAAAGGAGAAAGATTTATGCGTGGATGACGAGAAACGTCTCCGGTTACTATAGTAACTTCGCTTTCCTGAGAGGCGGGAACGAGACGTTGCGTCAGATATGACGCTGCGGGAACTCCTCCCTTCTCCACTTTTGTTGAAATCTTATAGGCTAACGCCAGCTTGGAACAGCTGGCCAATTGTTGCAAAGTATGCAAATACTGACAGGCTCACGGGCAGTATAAAATGCATGGGCGCGACAATTGTGTCAGAATCACGACTGAACGCTTGCACAGCTAATCGAACAGCGAACACGACGGCTAACGCAATGTATTGTTCCCGCCTCTCAGGGAACCGAGGTTACGATAGTAGACGTTCCCTTTCGAGAGCGGTAACGGCAACATTGCGTCAGCTATGGCGCTGCGGGAACTGTACTAAATCCCGCCATGAGAGTAGTGAAGATAAGCCCAGAGAAAACGAGGCCAAGCTACACCGGCCACGGAAGAGAAAGACAGTCAGCCAATAGCCGCGCCGCTAGGAGTGTTCGCATCTGATAGGCAAAGCTAGACCAATGAAACATCAGCTCCGACCCATCAAACTTTGCATATTTAACACAATGAAAGCGAAGGCTGCACTGAAACCAGGGCAGACACAACACTAAAGCACTCAATGCATGAAAGTAAAACACAGTGTCAACAGCGGTAGCCTAACAACTGTTTTAACACTAGCAGCAGGTCTCAACCTAAGTGAGGAACAAAGTATGCACAGAGCCAACAGCAAAGCGGTAACAACTGTGTTAAACACTAGAACAGTTCTCAATACATGAGTGAGGAAATCAACTCACCGAAGCACTTGAGACACCACAGACGGTACATTCAGCTTGTAAAATCTGGCGAAGGTGTTCAGAGAAGACCAACCAGCAGCAACGCATATATTCTGAATAGACATACCTCTAGACCAGGCCCACGAAGAGGCAACAGCTCTCGTCGAATGAGCTCATATGTTACAGGGATAATCCTTCCCCCCCAGCTAACAGACTTTTGTAATAAGAACGTTCTCCAAATATTCAGTGTTGGTTCTGGGAATGTAAAAAATGTCCATGTTTTCTTGACGTTAGAGGAACGTTTTGTTCCTCAAACGTTCTTTCAACTTAATTTCGATTTAAAATTCAACATTCAAGGAACGTTGATTTGCGACATTCCAAGAACATAGAAATGTCCAGTTTCCTGAACGTTAATAGAATGTTATGTTTTTCCATCGGGAGGCCACTATAGGCGCGGACTCTAACTCTGCGCTGCTCTGGGGCAGGGCGAGTGACACAGTGTTGAGTGTATGAAGAGGAAAAGGCTCTTTGTGTGAAGGGATATGTGCTCTTATTGTGGAACTCACACAAACAGACACAGCATTCACACAAACATTGCAAATGTTGCCTGCAGGAACGGAGGGGACATGATGCAGAACACTGCGGGGCCTCCACCAAACTCTCTTCTCCTCTTGGATGGTCCGTCAGGACGAAGGCTTGGTAGCCGAGGATGGCGTGCCATAGCGGCTCGGGCTTCTCCTCGGTCCGTGATGCTTCCTTCCCGGTCCCGTCCACTGCTTATGGCAAACATCCAGCTCGGGATGGGGAGCAGCCGCCGCGTCCGCTGGCGGGGCGAGGTGCCTGACGAAGAGCGAGACCTTGACGAGGGCTGGAACGAGCAACGGGGCATCATGTGACTCATAGCTTTTGTGCGCTTCTGAGCCTCAGAGAAACGCTCAGTAACTGACTCCACAGCGTCACCAAAGAGACCGGAGGGAGTGATTGGAGCTTTTAGGAGCGTCTCACAGTCCGCATCTTCAGGTCAGCTAGGGTTAACTACAGGTACCTGTTAAGGACGACCATGAAGCCCATGAAGCGGCCAATGGCCTAGGCGGAGTGCTTTGTAACCATGAGCGCGAAGTATGAAGAATGTAGAGCGGAGAATGCAGAGCGGATGCTGCTTCACCAGTAGAAGCATAGGGTTTGTCAGCCAGATGAGCCGTGAACTTGCACGGCATGGACTGCAGGCTGAGATCCGCGCCCAGAAACTAAAGGATGGACACAGGTGCACGGTGACGGTCTCATTGACGGGGGGCATGCGCACATAGCTGTGGGCTTCCGCCCCGCCACATGAAGATGGCATGGGTGGCAGTGTGCACGCACACGGATTGGGGTGCAGACTACGACTTCACCACGTGCTCGTGGACAGCGTGGAAGAACGGAGTCCTCCTTCTCGAAGCAGCCAGGCGGCCCGACTGGAGATACCAGGAATCCAACTTACTCTTGGTAGGCTCGTCCGGGGCATTCGACGTCGAGTCCAGCGCATCCACGAAAAGGACCGGTGGAACGTGTCGTTTCTGGGTGGGGAAGGGCCCACCAGCGGCTCGCTGGCGGCAGTGGGCCTCGACCCCCTAATAGCATAAGCAAAAACCTCCCTGGTTCTCAAGTGCGCACCGGCAGGTCGGCGCAGTGCATGCACGTGGAGTCCAAGAAGGCCGCCTCGGCGAGGGCCAGGCCCAGGCAGGCTCACTCAGTACTCACAGGTGTCGGGCGGGTCGATGGGGCTCGCACAAATCCTGCAAAGGGTAGCCATCGGATGCGAGGAAGAAAAGGTAACTAGTCCTCAGGTGCAACTTCAACGATGACAGAATGAAGAAAGAGATTCTGACGCAATTGTCGCGCCCATGCATTTTATACTGCCCGCGAGCCTGTCAGTATTTGCATACTTCGCAACAATTGGCCAGCTGTTCCAAGCTGGCGTAAGCCTATACGATTTCAACATAAGTGGAGAAGGGAGGAGTTCCCGCAGCGTCATATCTGACGCAATGTTGAAGTTACCGCTCTCGAAAGGGAACACAAGATTTTTATCTTTCTGGAAGGTAAATGAACAAACCCTTCATCTCCTTGGATTGCGGGTGGATTCCTCCATAGGACAGGGTGAGCTCCTCTTCCTGCCCCCCTTGGCCAAAAGAAAAGGCTTAAATAACAATAACTCCCATAAAGGAAAGCATATTCAGTATTAAGTGACTTCTCAACGGCAGAGCATACAAAACAGTGCCAGAGACACAGTGTATCAGCCAGTCCTCGTTAGTATAGTGGACAGTATCTCCGCCTGTCACGCGGAAGACCGGGGTTCGATTCCCCGACGGGGAGGCTTTTTCTTTATGAAGGCCAAACACCTTGCATAAGCTCAGGCTTTACCGGGGAAACTGCTGATAAAGCAACCCAGACAAGTAAGGTTAGTTTCTTGATAAGTACTTTCAAGTAAGTGTTGGCAATTAGTTTGTAAAAGGTGGTTTTAGGCATGTTTGGCCTGAGTTTCTGTTGCATTCCCACTGTTCTGACCAGCAGGGGTCACCAGCGTGTGGCGCTTCAACAGTGATTAATTTTGCGAAGCACTCGGTTCAATTGATTCAAAGCTTTGAAAAGCTTTGTTTGTGTGAATCAAAGTGAATCAAACAGTGAATCAAAATGATTCACGTTCGAAGTGTTCGAAGCCCCACACGCTGGTGACCCCTGCTGGTCAGAACAGTGGAAATGCAACAGAAACTCAGGCCAAACATGTCTAAAACAACCTTTTACAAACCCATTGCAAACGCTTTAAAATCTTTCACATCACATGCATTTAACAAATCATCTAATACCATTAAATATGAAGTTTCTATATAAAATGTGTTGTAGCCTATTATTAAATCGTTGGGCTTGTTTAATGGAGAACTTGATAGGTCAGGTCAATAAGCGATTATTAACTAAAACTCTTCCTTTTTATTATACAAATGTGTCATTAAAAATATCTAAAAAATTATTTTAAAACAATCACAAATAAACACCTTGGTATTAAACAAAGATCTTTAAAAGATAACATAAACTGGTAACACTTTACAATAAGGTTTAATCTGTCAACATTAATGTACTAACATTAACTATAGCAATGAGTAATACATTTGTAACAGTATTTATTAATCTTTGTTAACATTAGTTAATAAAAATACAATGGTTCAAACGTTTGTTCATGTTAGACCACAGTGCATTAACTAATGTTAACAAATACAACATTTGATTTGAATAATGTTAGCAAATTTTACTAAGATGACTAAATGCTGTAGAAGTATTGCTCATTCTTAGTTCATATTAAGTAAAAATTGGTAGCCTACCGGTATTTGTTGGAAGGTTTTCATGTAGGCTGTGCGAAATTTAACTTACATTTAACATGTATATGAATAGCACAAATGTAAATAAAAGTTATAACATAGTATTCTTACTTTTTTTTAAGGGATCTTAGTAAAACAAAAATAAAACGTTTTCTAAACACACACAAAAAAAGTGGGTTCGGTGTTATTACTTAATAAATATAATCAAATCTTTCCAAAAATGTCCTTAGATGAGATGCTCCTGCCGCCTGTATCAAAGAAGTGACGTTATATCTGCGACTCTTCCCAGTGCGCATGTGCGGTGTCTGTCCGGCGCATGTCGATGATATTGAAACGACATGGCGGTGTTATTGGAAACAACGTTAGGAGATATCGTGATTGATTTATACACAGAAGAGAGACCGAAAGGTAATTAATAATAACATTAATGACAGGCGAAGAGTGTTAACGTATTTGCACTGCAAGCAAGATTACACTTAAAGCTAGTTCTTTTAATACAATCATCAAAACGTCGTAATAAATATAATAAATCTCTGTAGGAACTTTTTACTTGATAAACATGTAACTTAATTTTTATCTTGCTTGTTTAACCAGAAATCTAGTTGTTATATTATTTAATGTTTCACTACAAGAGCACCAAACCAACTAGTACTACATGATATCATGATATGTAATATGTACTGAATGATAACCAGAATTGTGCTTCTAATTTTCCAGCCTCGCTGAACTTCCTGAAACTGTGCAAAATCAAATATTACAACTATTGTCTGATTCACAATGTTCAGGTAATATATATTTATGTCTTACATTCGGTGTGCGTTATATTGTTCAAAATTATGCCCAATGGACAATTGCCCATTAATATTTTTGTTTTATTTACTTTGAAACCATTAACGTTATAAGAAATCGAGATTGGAGACTGGAGATTCGAAAAGTTTTTAGTTCTGAAAGTTACATTGTTTTCATAGAATCACATTCATCTCATAAATTCAAGGCAAAATGTGATTACTGTAGGATATGTAAATGAATATTTCTACTGTAGTTATCACTGCAAATTTGAGGTGGAGTTTGACTGTTGGCAGTAAATGTTGTTGCATGTGTTCTTGACCCGGTCCAGAGAGATTTCATCGTCCAGACGGGAGACCCCACCGGCACGGGCCGAGGAGGAGAGTCTGTGTTCTGGTAAGAACCAAGTTCATGTTGTTGTGTTTGTGCTGAGCGATACACATGCGTTGTGTGATGGTGATGTCTGTGTGTTTGCAGTAAACTGTATGGCGATCAGGCACGCTTTTTTGAGTCCGAGAAGGTGCCCAGGATCAAGCATAGAAAGAAAGGGACGGTGTCTATGGTGAACAACGGCACCGACCAGCATGGCTCTCAGGTTAATTGTGCACATATATCTAATACACACAGTGTCTATGTGGATGTCATTGTCAGTGTTTGAGTGTGTGACTTTTTCTTTTGGCTCCCAGTTCCTGATCACCTCAAGTGAGAATCTGGATTATTTGGATGGCGTTCACACTGTGTTTGGAGAGGTCACAGAGGGCATGGACGTGCTGGCTAAAATCAACGAGACCTTTGTTGACAACGACTTCATCCCCTTTCAGGACATCAGGTAGGACAAGTGTTTTTAGAGAGAGAGAAAGATCACATTTGTTATAATATTTTTTATTATGAAAGATACCAAATGTTTTTTGTAAGTGTATGAGAACAGGTATGCAGAATCATCAATATTTAATAACTGATCCGAGTGCAGCGTACAGCTGATGAGAACAAGTAATGTTTTTCCCCGTGTAAAGTCAAGTAGAGAGAGTCAGTAAGTGCGTTTACACGCGCCCTCATAATGCGATTATAATGGGATTTTGGCGATATTGCAATTAAACGCTACTTCACGTAAACACAATGGGTCTCATTCATGAAACATTCGTAAATATACGAGTAAATATGCGAGTGATTTGCGCGTAAAGAGACCTTCCCGAAAACTCATCTCCTGATTCACAAATACTTCGTAAACGTCAGATGTGATAGTGAAATGTGTTTGTGTGTGTGTGTTAATGAATTCCAATCAGTCGTAAATGGGATGCGCGTGCACGTTTATTCTCAATTACCATAAATCCCGGCCATTAAATCCGACTGACAACTATATGTGGGCATCATATTATGACATGAATGCGAATGAAAAAAAAAATTCTCAGATGCAGAAATTGAAGTTTTATTATCAGAACTTCATTCAAAACGCCACATTTATTTTCAAGCGTACACAGTGGCGTATCAGGTCCTAAAAAAAAGGCAGCTTGGCAGCATATCACAGATGCAGTTAATGGAGTTTCATCTGTTAATCAAACAGTCCCAGAAGTGAGAAGAAAATGGTTTGACATTAAGCTTGAGAGCAAAAAACGAATTAGTTCACTTCGGAAAAATAGTATTCAAACTGGAGAAGGACCACCATCGCAGATGCTATTACTGGCTCTCATAATAAGAAAAACCGTATGTAATTACTATATATAATATTTTTTCAAAATGCTGTGTAAATATGTACCCGATTAAGGTGAATTAAAATGCAGCCTTAGTTATTAATGAGCAAAACGTCCGGGTGTTAAGCGCACTATGTACGCGTGGCTGGAGCAGGTGTAGATTTCTTGTGTACCAACTAACATTTGGAAAATACGAACATTTTAATGAATCCGAAAATTTACGCCAGAACCACTTTACACACGATTTACACAAACATTCGTTCTGCTCGTGTTTCATGAATGAGACCCAATGTTGCCATTTACTCTTAATTCTGCCATGGCTTTGTTTGGAGCAAAAACAATGTTGCATGATGTCTCCAAGCAACACACAGTAGTGGCGTTCCAGAATGAATCAAGTGTTTTTGATCAATGAATCATTCAGTGACTCACAAGGACTTGTTGACACCAGCTAACAATGCCTTTGACTGACCGTGTCTGGAAGGCACAAACATAGACAACTGGAGTGATGCCAACAATGAGAAGTCCCAATGTTTTATCAGCACGCGGTACTGTGAGTCTTGATGAAGAAGAAAAATTCCCACACTTTGGATTCCCTCATAGTTTTGAGGTTTGGGTGGTCCAGATTCATAGACATAAGGGCTTCAGTATAAACACCAGTGTTTGTGCTCATCAGCCTCATCAGCCCTCTGAAGGCCTCATCGACACGACGGCCATCGGCACTGATCCTCAACAACTCGTCTCCATACCGGCGTGATTACTTCCACTTCCAAACAGATGGAAATGGATAAATACTCTAAATGTTCCGATCCAATCTGACTTGTAATGCTGCCCGAATCACACACTGTTCCTTCATTGGCCAGAGGAGAACTGGCCCCCGACTGAGTCTGGGTTCTCCCAAGGTTTATTCTCCATTCTGTCCCTGATGGAGTTTGGGTTCCTCTCCACTGTTGCCTTGGCTTTTGGCTTGCTTAGTTGGGGACATTTAATATTCAACAATATTATTGATCTGCCTTACTTAAGGTGGACGATGACGCAATTTTCTTCTAGAAACAAACTTTGTTGTATTATTTTCATGTTATCACTGTGAAGCTGCTTTGATACAATCTGTATTGTAAAAAGCGCTATCTAAATAAAGGTGACTTGACTTTGTGCCTGCTAAGTTCTGGGCTGCATTGTGGTTGCAGGATTAATCACACAGTGATTCTGGATGACCCGTTTGATGATCCCGCGGGCCTCCCGGTTCCAGACCGATCGCCTGAACCCACTAAAGAGCAGCTGGATGTGAGTGTCTTCATTCAAACTCACCCAATCACAATACTGGCAGATTTATGCCAACTTAGTTTGTAAAAATTTTAATCATAAAATTAGCATGCAGAGTCCGCTATAAGTAAACAATGATTTCTCAATTCAGTTAAATTTGTTGGTCTACCTCCTCCCATGAATAATGAATACAGTTTGGAAAGAAAGTTATGTTTGTTTAGTTTGGGTATGAGCCACACTAAAAGAAAAGGATCATGTGTTTTAAAATAGCTTGATGAATTTTTTTTTTCTCCCCAAATTTTCAAAGATGAAAATGCAGATAAATAGAGTTATTGAACTGATTCTGAAGTGCATGAAACGAGTCAGTAATTCCAGTTTTATTTTTCTGCTTGAACCTTCTACTTGGTAACAAATTTGCATAATACCAGCCTATGGTCTTCATTGGCTGCCCGCAAACAACACCATCTGACCAATCAGAGCAGAGGAGGCTCTCCGTTCTCTCTCTAAACCCCTCCTTTCTGTTTCAGACACTGTGAGAAAAAATGAAATTATGATGATTATGGTGAAATTTAAAGTGTTTTTTTGACCTTGAATGCATGTGAACATGTAGGAGAGTCCAAAACAAAATTATGAGCCTTTAAAATAGCATAATAAAGACACTTGAAGTATTATAAAATAAGCAATGGGTTCAGTTCCTAGGAAATACATGACCTGATTATTTTATTATGTAATTTTACTACGTGTAAAACATTTACAATATTATGTTGATTATTAAACTTCAGGTTAGATGTTCACTTCTAAACCCTTTAAATGTAGTGGTTTAATGCTAATATAAAAATATGAATTATTATTATTGCAGTGTTGAGTGTGTGTGTGTGTGTGGGGGGGTGCTATTCAAATCAGAAAGAGCAGGTGATGTGTTTTTGTTTTTTTAAATGTGCTTTGTTATTGATTTTAGATTGAATGATCCATGCTTGTGCATGTTTTAGAGTGGTCGGATTGGGGCCGACGAGGCCATAAACGATGATGACGGAGATGCTGAGCAGCTGGATGAACTGATAAAAGACAAGGAAGCAAAGACGCAAGCCATTCTACTAGAGATGGTAAAGTTCATCACTTCCACATGAACATGACTCTAGACATCTTTTACTGATCACCTCACGTGATCATGCTGTACATGTGAACATGTGAATGCTTCTTGTTGAAAGGTGGGTGATCTGCCAGATGCAGAAGTCAAGCCTCCAGAGAACGTGCTGTTTGTGTGTAAACTGAATCCTGTGACCACAGATGAAGATCTAGAGATCATCTTCTCACGTTTCGGCTCCATTAAATGGTGAGTTAATAGAATATGTTACTGCTGTATTAGTTCCAATGATAGTCTCTCACTCGTCGTTGTGGTTAAACATTGTGAGTGAAGTTTACGGCTGGGAACCGAAAGATTACATTTTTTAATCTCTGCAAGGGTTGATCCAAGGACTTTTACCTTTTGTGCTCTTAAAGCACTTAACTGAGGTCTTAGCTAGTGGTGCTTTTCTTGTTTTACATATGAGTTAGGGGTATAACGGTACATGTATTCGTATTGAACCGTTTCGGTACGAGGCTTCCGGTTCGGTACGCATACAAACAGAACGATTCTTTGGACCATTTTTCCTGCCGACAAAATCAGCGCTGGCGCGATCACCACAATGTTGCGCAACATCAAATGGCAAACATAATGAAAGCGGAACGAAACTGCGCTACTCATTATATTGTGCTTCACGGACCGTTTATCAGTTCGGACCAGCAACATCTGTGCAGCGCGAGCCGATCTCGATCAAGCGACACTGTTACTACACAGCGCTCAGAGATCCAGTGAAGAAAACATTTGAATTCGCCACTGAAGTAATAACATCGCTGCGAGATCTAGTGAGAAGCATTCACATTTCTCCGTTATTAACTAGGGGTGGGGGAAAAAATCGATTCTTAGATGCATCGCGATGCGGACGTGGACGATTCTGAATCGATTCACAAATGTAAAAAAATCGATTTTCCAAAAAAAACAAAAAAAAAACATATATATATATTTATAATCACGTAATATTGACGGAACGCGAAAGACGGAACTCTGAAGCGCGGAAGTGCAGTGGCCGGACCCGTCTGTGGCGTGCACATAACAGAGACGCGATGGCTGAGCGCGCTAAATCCAAACACCCTCCTTGTTAGGTTAGCTGACGTGGAAATATTTTGACTTCTGAAGTTGAAGGGGGAAAGGAGCTGGACAAGAGCAACCCTAGTTGTAAGCTTTGTAGAATAAAACTAACGACGGAAACACGACAAATATGAGAAGCCATTTGACACGTTTCCAGTCAGAGGAAAGAATTTACTACAAGTATGCTCCTAGTTCAGGCACACATTTATTTTCCTGTTGGTTCTTTGCAATGTTAATAAAATATATTGTACGTTAATTCTTTATGGGTCATTTACTTTTAAAGCAACGTATTTATAGTCACACACACACACAAAAGATTCAGATAATCGATTTGTATGAATAAAAGTAATGATTTCTTTTTTCTTTCGCCCAAAAAATTAAATAAAAATTCTTACCGACTCCAAACTTTTGAACGGTATTGTTTAATGTTACAAAAGCTTTCTATTTCAGATAAATGCTGTTCTTTTGAATTTCTGGGTGATTCTCTGAATTGGGTGCCCTAGAGTCCCCCAAACTTGCTTCAAAGATTTTCAATTGAAGGAAATCACAAAATGCCTTTTAATGCTGTCAGTTAATAGAACCAGGTGCCTTTGCATTATAATGCAACACAATTGCTTTAAAAAATGTATTTATTTATAATGGGTTGCCTAAGAAGTAGACAACAAGCATGTTTGCATGTCCTCACTAACCATCAATACATTTTCATTGAATATCAAACAAATAAAAAGTGCAATTAATACCAAAATGTTGCTGCTAATATAATCATATGTTGTGAAATGGAAAATCAATAATCGCTAATCGAGAATCGTTAATAATCGAAAATCGACTGTAATCGAATCGGGACTTCAATAATCGTAATCGAATCGAATCGGGAAATCAGACAGATTAACCACCCCTATTATTAACCGTAGATCTCTATTAGATCAAACAGCGCTGACGTGGACACCAGGAGAAATATTGTGCCGTGAATGAACTAGTAATACTTTACGTCCACAGACCAGCAACATTCACCATAACTGTAACCAGTTTGGCTGGAATAGTGAAATGCTTTCAAGTACTTCACACATCTTTTTGCAGCACTTCAAAACTCAAATATTATATAAATAAATATATGAAGAGTTCAGATGCAAAAGCCTCTATAAGTGCCATTTGAAATATTCTTCTAGAATGATCATTTTTATGAAGCTTGTATATTTAAGTTCAGTAATTTCACTCAAATGACAATTAATAGGTAATCTTCATTGCCATTTAAGTGAAATTACTGAACTTAAATATACAAGCTTCATAAAAATGATCATTCTAGAAGAAAATTTCAAATGGCTTTTGCATCTGAACTCTTCATATATTTAAATGTTATTTTTAATGTGATGACCAAAACATTATTTGTTCATTCTTTAAAGATGACCCCCATTTATAAACCTGAAAGTTTCAAGATGTAGGAAAACTCACACTTATTTAAAAAATATTTTTTCTTTTAACAAATAGGAAATTTCTCTGGCATTTCTTACTTTTTGCTGTATCGAAAACGTACCGAACCGTGACTTTAAAACCGAGGTACGTACCGAACCATGATTTTTGTGTACCGTTACACCCCTAATATTGAGTGATCTGTCATTAAAAATAAAGTCATTTCTATATATAATATAGAATATAATCTTGTAAATAATAAGTTTGGTCACACTTTAGATTAGTTCAATACTCACTTTTAACTCAATAAACTCCTAATTACTGCTTATTAATAGTTAGCAAGGTAGTTAAGTTTAGGTATTGGGTAGGATTGAGGGAATATGGTCTTGCAGAATAAGACATTAAAGGTATAGTTAACCCAAAAATGAAGACTTTTGTTCATCTTCAAAACACAAATGAAATCTGAGAGCTTTCTGTCGCTCCTTTGACAGCTACGCAAATACCACTTTGATGCTTCAAAAAGTTAATTAAGAGTTAATTAATTTAAAACTGATCCATATGAATTAAGTGGTTTAGTCCAAATTTTCTGAAGAGACACAATCGCTTTGTATGATGAACAGATTGAATTTAGGCTTTTATTCACATATAAACATTCATCAACTCGCAAAACAGTTGTGGTAAAAAAAAGCTCATGCAAGAACCAATGAGGTTCGTTCTCGTGTTACGCAGCACGTTTGAGCTTCTCAAGAACCAATGAGGTTCATTCTCGTGTTACGCAGCACGTTTGAGCTTCTCAGGAACCAATGAGGTTCATTCTCGTGTTACGCATCACGTTTGAGCTTCTCAGGAACCAATGAGGTTCATTCTCGTGTTACGCAGCACGTTTGAGCTTCAGCAAGAACCAATGAGGTTCATTCTCGAGTTACGCATCACATTTGAGCTTCAGCAAGAACCAATGAGGTTCATTCTCGTGTTACGCATCACGTTTGAGCTTCAGCAAGAACCAATGAGGTTCATTCTCGTGTTACGCAGCACGTTTGAGCTTCAGCAAGAACCAATGAGGTTCATTCTCGAGTTACGCATCACATTTGAGCTTCAGCAAGAACCAATGAGGTTCATTCTCGTGTTACGCATCACGTTTGAGCTTCTCAGGAACCAATGAGGTTCATTCTCGTGTTAAGCATCACGTTTGAGCTTCTCAGGAACCAATGAGGTTCATTCTCGTGTTAAGCATCACGTTTGAGCTTCTCAGGAACCAATGAGGTTCATTCTCGTGTTACGCATCACGTTTGAGCTTCAGCAAGAACCAATGAGGTTCATTCTCGTGTTACGCAGCACGTTTGAGCTTCAGCAAGAACCAATGAGGTTCATTCTCGAGTTACGCATCACATTTGAGCTTCAGCAAGAACCAATGAGGTTCATTCTCGTGTTACGCATCACGTTTGAGCTTCAGCAAGAACCAATGAGGTTCATTCTCGTGTTACGCATCACGTTTGAGCTTCAGCAAGAACCAATGAGGTTCATTCTCGTGTTACGCAGCACGTTTGAGCTTCAGCAAGAACCAATGAGGTTCATTCTCGAGTTACGCATCACGTTTGAGCTTCTCAAGAACCAATGAGGTTCATTCTCGTGTTACGCAGCACGTTTGAGCTTCTCAGGAACCAATGAGGTTCATTCTCGTGTTCACGTTTGAGCTTCTCAGGAACCAATGAGGTTCATTCTCGTGTTAAGCATCACGTTTGAGCTTCTCAGGAACCAATGAGGTTCATTCTCGTGTTACGCATCACGTTTGAGCTTCAGCAAGAACCAATGAGGTTCATTCTCATGTTACGATTCACGTTTGAGCTTCTCAAGAACCAATGAGGTTCATTCTCGTGTTACGCATCACGTTTGAGCTTCTCGAGAACCAATGAGGTTCATTCTCTTGTTACGCATCACGTTTGAGCTTCTCAAGAACCAATGAGGTTCATTCTCGTGTTACGCATCACGTTTGAGCTTCTCAAGAACCAACGAGGATCATTCTCGTTTTACGCATCACGTTCGAGCTTCTCGAGAACCAATGAGGTTCATTCTCGTGTTACGCATCACGTTTGAGCTTCTCAGGAACCAATGAGGTTCATTCTCGTGTTACGCATCACGTTTGAGCTTCTCAGGAACCAATGAGGTTCATTCTCGTTTTACGCATCACGTTTGAGCTTCTGCAAGAACCAATGAGGTTCATTCTTGTGTTACGCATCACGTTTGAGCTTCTCGAGAACCAATGAGGTTCATTCTCTTGTTACGCATCACGTTTGAGCTTCTCAAGAACCAATGAGGTTCATTCTCTTGTTACGCATCACGTTTGAGCTTCTCAAGAACCAATGAGGTTCATTCTCGTGTTACGCATCACGTTTGAGCTTCTCAAGAACCAATGAGGTTCATTCTCGTGTTACGCATCACGTTTGAGCTTCTCAAGAACCAATGAGGATCATTCTCGTTTTACGCATCACGTTCCAGCTTCTCGAGAACCAATGAGGTTCATTCTCGTGTTACGCATCACGTTTGAGCTTCTCAGGAACCAATGAGGATCATTCTCGTGTTACGCATCACGTTTGAGCTTCTCGAGAACCAATGAGGTTCATTCTCGTGTTACGCATCACGTTTGAGCTTCTCAGGAACCAATGAGGTTCATTCTCGTGTTACGCATCACGTTTGAGCTTCTCGAGAACCAATGAGGTTCATTCTCGTGTTACGCATCA